CACCTAAATTTAGTTTTGCGTTATCTACAAAATGTTTGTTGCAATTAGCTTGCGATGTGAAAAACATTCATGCTGATGCTTCATATAAATTGGTATGGTAAGGATTCCCAGTCTTTGTTGTTGGAAGTATAGATAAAAATAAAAAGTTTCATCCGTTTGGCTTAGGGGTTGCAACTAATGAATAAAAAAATGACTTCAAATTTTTATTTGGTGCAATTAAAGATAATATTCAAACTTTGTATTCACATTGTTTACGACAACAGGCTTTGGTTTGTGATGCAGCCAAAGCAATACAAAATAATAATTGTATGGATGTGCTGGACACATGCGAAAAGAAAAATTCAAGCTTGGGTAAAAAAGAGTGTTAAGAAGAATATTCAGGAAGAATTATTGTCAGATGTTGATTGTTTACAAGCAGCTACTGATTCAGATACTTTCGACTTAGATGCATGAATAGTGGTTGACACAAAATTGTAATTGGTATTTAGGTGTTCACATGGGATCGCCAGCCACAGACAATGCCCTTGAATCATTCAACAGAATCATAAAAGATAAACACACGTATTTTGACAGTTGCTATTGAATCGCTAAACCAGTAGTCTTTAAAATATTTGCGGAAATCGGTTGAAGATACAGTTTTTGCAATATTACCAACTCTAACTTCAAAAAATGGACAGAGTCGTATCAATGGGCAAAATTATCAAAAAAATTAAGCTAACACACAGTGATGATACTTTCAATTATTACGAAGTACCTGCTGGTAAGGCAGAAGAAACCCAAGATATGCAAAGTAACTGGACTAACTTCAATGAATACAAAAAACAATTCTTCAGTAAATGGAAAGTGAATTTGCCCCAAAACAGTGAGTGGATACATGGAAAATGTAATTGCCCTGCATTTTATAAAGAGTATGTGTAAACAGATTATGGGGATATCCATCCGTCTCAAACTAGCAAGTCCACCGCTTGAGGCTAAAAATGTGCCTATTGGCCAAAAAATAAAAAGAGGGCGTCCCACAAAATCAAAACGAGCTCTTATTATTCAGTGACTTCTTTCTCATAACTAAATTTTTTTTGTTTAAATTATTATGTTTAGGTTAACCGTTAGTTTATCATACATATGTACGTAGGTTTATTTAAATTTGTAATAAATACAAGTGCCTTTAAGAAATTTGTTTATTTATTTATCTAAATTCCTATAACGACAGACATACCTGCTGATCACAAAATTAGACATCATGATTTAATTGCTGTAAATTATTAGCTAATCATTTTAAAATAGTGTAGTGTTAACAAGTTGGTAGAAGATCTATCAATCTGAGAATAAATTCAATTATTTGAAAACTATTTAGGTTCTCTGGCGATGGTACATACATTTATATATAATCATTTTGAAATAATTTGGTGTCAACAAGTTGGTGGTAAATCTATTATTCTGAAAACAAATCTGTTTATTTAATATTCAAAATCGCATTAATTTGGTGACCGATAAAATCACACCCTTTCAAAAATTTATCACAACAAGGCATTTTCTTTCAAATGAATGCTGAAATAAACAAATTTTGCTGCTGTTCTTGATACGATCTAGCAGACAAGCCAACAATTTAACTTAGAACTGTCAATTTACAGTTGGATTAATTAGAACTATCTTCTGTGTAGTTTCCATCAGGCATTCCAAACAAAATGGCTACTAGTGGGTTTTGACAGATTATGATATGGCAACCCTGTAGGCCAGGTTAATTGACAGGGTCAATGAAATAGATAATTAAATGGATTAATCATCCATTTTTTTCAAAATAGTCATAAGCTTATGCCTTGAAGTAAAAATGTTGGTAATTATTTTTTTTAATTATATATTCAACGGCTTAAAATTGGTTTTAAAATACAGTTTTGCTAAACTGATTCAAATTAATAAACACTTGCCAGGCAATTTGGCCGCTCGCAAACGACCCGCTTTGAGTAATCTATATAACTATATATGTATCATTGACCCGGTTAATGACAACAGGTCCACAGGGTTGCCATATCTAAATTTTGACAAGTCGTTGGAATGCCTAATTGCATTTTAATCGTCCATTTTGAATTCGTTATTAGCTTCTTTTTGGTTTAATTTGTTATTATTTAGTTTAATTAATATTTTCAACTACTCGACCATTAGACATACGGTTCTTAATTTTACCAATAAAAAATAATAAAAAAATTAGACATGTTAGAAACCTACTTCATGGCACACAAAAACTCTACAGCGGCTTTGTAAATTTATGAAAATACATTTCCTAAACGGCACCAACCAACCGCACGACATTTTAGGGATTTCGTAATAAATATTCTAAATGATGAAAGTTATGCAAAACACAGAAATCCTAAGTATGCTGTTGAAAATGAGGAGAGAATTGAAGCTGTGTTACAACACACTAAAAATAATACCACAATCGGTTAGAAAAATATCATTTGCCCCTCTAATATTGGACGTTAATAAATACCATCCATATGATGGTACAAGGTTTATCAGCAAATTATTTTCTCGAAGAGTAAGATTTTGCGAATGATACATTCAATATATGCGAGAAAATGCCAATTTTTCCATGTTGTTGAGGTGAGATATAGTTTTTTATACGTGTAAAACATCTGTTAATATGGATTCAAATAGTTTTGGAATTATGGATATAACGGAAATACCTCTATAATACTTTATGTCGCTTTCATGACCTTTCTTATATGCTAGCATGAGATGGAAAAAAGTACATGACGAGAGAAATCGATGTTTTTGAATTTTTATCAAGGACATGCCGAATGCTTTCAATACACATACTTTGATTTTCTTTTACTATACGGAGAATGGTCGCACTGCGCAGCTTTCTGAGTGCCTTTTAAAAGGAGATAGAAAACTCCGCCATTTTGAACCCTTATTACGTATTGCCTACATCTTGGCGCAATATTTTTAATAGGTGCGTTTTAATCATCCGCTTCTGCTTCGGAATTGTCAGTTTTCTTGTTTTAATCTGACAGGTTAAAACGACTAAACCGACAATTAGGCATTCCAAACTAAATGGCTACCAGTGGGTTTTGACGGGTTATGATATGGCAAAATTATGGCAACCCTGTAGGCCTGGTGATTTGACAAGGTCAATGAAATAGATAGTTACATAGATTGATCATCCATATTTTTCAAAATAAACAAAAGCTTATGCCTTGAAGTAAAAATGTAAGCAATTATTTTTTTTTAAATATCTAAAGGCTAAAAATTGGTTTTAAAACACATTTTTGCTAAACCGTTTCAAATTAATAAATATTTGCCAGGCAATATGGCCGCTCGTAAACGACCAGCTTTAAGCAATCTATATAACCATATATGTATCATTGACCCTGTTAATGACAGCATGACAACAGGGTTGCCATATCTAAACTGTCATTACCCACTGGTAGCCATTTGGACAGGTCGTTGGAATGCCTAATTCCGGAAGCAGAAGCGGATGATTAAAACGCACCTGATATTTTGCTTGCTGCTGTCAGTGTCAGTGAATATTATTTTTGAAGTCACAGTTTATTGCTAAAGAATCAGTTATCTCACTCGGACCAGTTGAAAGTTCCAAAATAACATCCACTCCAGGGATACAAATTCAGGATACGCAGAAGACTGCTGTTTTATTATAGGCGGTTGTCATATATTGTATTATCCGAGTTGCACAGTGTATAAACTGAAACATTGAGATCCAAAGTGCCGACGCAGAGTGAGCGATCTGATTCTTTAGCTGTAAACTGTGTCACAGGGTTCAAAATGGCCGCGCTCTATGTTGGGCGTGTCGGACCTCTCTCTTGCCTCGTATAGTAATCAAAGTATGTGTTTCAATATTATCAACTGTACGATTAGACAGTCTCTTAGTTCCAGATTTACGACCAATGCTATCTTTCTGAATAATTGTATAGAATTTGTCAAAACATTGAAAAAATCATGGTAGTCAAAAAATAATTCAAGATGTTCTTCAAGAAAATCAGTCATGCATTCTGGAATTGAATACTACCACTCACCATTTACTTTTACATCTGTACGGAAGAAAAATTCGATAATTTTTCCTTTTGGCTTTGTGTTGAATACCATTTTTAACCGACTTCAAAAAAGGAGGAGGTTTCAATTCGTCGTAATATTTTTTTATGTACGTTCAGCGATAATTCTTTAACACGGTATCCGATTGCAATGATTCTTTTTTTGTTAGAAAAAGGGTACTTCAAGGGTTGTTCCATATAAAGTTGGTCAAAATCTAATAATTGGGTCCATTAGAAAATTTCCAAACTCTTCATTTTTTATGTATGTTCTGCGGTAATTCTTTATCACCTTGTCCGATTTCTATGATTCTTTTTTTGTTAGTAAGGGTGTATCTCAGTGGTAGTCCCTATAATTTGGTCAAGATGTGGTGATAGAATCTACATGATATTGAAGTCGGTTTTTTAAAATTTCTTTTATTAAAATTTAATTTTCTTAATAACGTTTTGACAAATGTTTATTTTCAATTGCAATTCATTGTGTGTGCAATACAATGTCTAGAAGGTAATACGAAAGAGGGCCTTATTTATTTGAAGAATTCAATCCATAATCGATATTCTACAATTGATAAAGGAGCCCCACTGATTAGTACAGCTTTGGCAAACGACTGATTCAACTTTTTTTGTAATAAAAAAAGTTTATCATTCAATTGTTTAGATGGGTTGATACGGGATATTCTAGCGCTAGCGTGATTATTAATTTACACTATTTTTCTTGATTTATGACTTTTTAAAGCACAAAACAAAAAAGCCCTAAACAAGTCAAAAAATTGTGTACATAATAATCACACTATAAAATCCTATATATCATCAAAATCATAATAAACACAATGTAATCAAAAAGCTCTGGATAGTCTAGTCTAGAGATAAAAAAACAGTAGTAGAATTATTGTTATTTTTATAAATACATACTACTATCAAAATTTCTGTATTTGTCAAAAAATTATTATAGGTACTTACATTTTCTGAGGTTGATATATTATCAACAAAACAATCAAGCATATATGATCTAGAATTTCTCGTTCCGGAATTGTGCTGGCAAGATTCAGATTTGCTGGTTGAAATTGACATTGGCACACTGACTCAAGATTTGGGAGTTGACAGTGTAAACACTTCAATGTGTGTTTTTCCATTTTATTCACATTTGAAAACTCAAACTGTTTATTGCAAAATTTGCATATCACTGTTTTTTCTTTCTTGTTGTAAAATTGCCAGAAAACTTTTCTCCTTCTACCTATAATGAAAGTGAAGATTGACTATGAGTATTAACAAATAATATCACCTGCTTTGTAGATTGACTCTGAGTATTGACAAATAATATTCCTGCTTTGTGCTTTATAACATCCATGTCGCGATTGTCAACAAACATTAAATTTTTTTAGGTTATGTTTTTGGGTAGGTAAATGTCTCTTGAAAAAATACCGGGTAAATACCTACAATTTATTTACCTACCCACTATGTATTTACCCAACTCACATCACTAACTGGGGCACAAATTAAATTATAAGTACGATCCTGCACTCGTGAGATCGGCCTATATCCGACTATTTTACATAAAGCTTTAAAGCTTTGATTATAAATGAATACCTACAGGCCTCGCAGCAGGAGTTTTTAGTGTTATAGTCGAAATGCGACGCCAGGACGAAAGAAAAAAACGACCAAGTCTAAGGAAAATGTGGAAAACGCTGGTTTTCCCTTTGGAAAATCGTAATCGTGAGCGATGCCGTAGACCATTGTTTAATGATTGTAGAGAATGTACAATGCGGTTTTTTGTTGCTCAGAACGTTTTTATTTGCTAGTAAAAGGAGAGGATTTTTTGAAAGGAGGCGAGAGTTTTAATTTTTGGATTAAAACAACTAATCTCGGTAATACGCCAGGCGTTCTTTCTGAATAGTTAAAGAATTTGTTTTTTGATAATCTAGAATGCTACAAACGGTTCAAAAATGTTTTTATTTTAAACAAAATAAGAAAGTACAGTCGGCGCAACCCAAAATATTAACGCTCTTTGGTTGTTATGTTACTGAAATTTATTCCTTTAAGTCCGGCTTTGGCAAGTGATGTTACAAAGAGAGGGGAGAATATTAAGAACAAAAATGTAAAGTGGCTGTTAAAATAATGTCAATAAAAGTTGGATATTGTCTAAAGAAACGTACTATATAAAAAATTGTATAAATGATAAATATATTAGAAGCAACACAGTGTTTCGGTCAATTACGGAATCGAATTACATTTGCCTTATCACTATTAAAGAAAAGAACATTATTATTAATATAATATGAAACTAAGTCATCCATGGTTGATGAATAATTTCTTCCTAGATTTACTTCAGATCTATCAGAAATAAGAATAATTGAGTTATCAGCAGATATTATAAAATTAACATTTGCGTTCATATTTTTTAAGTAGTTTGCATAAAACAAAAATAGTGTCTCGCAAAGCCAACCCTGTTCTTTGTTTATTACCCTACCCCCCTCAGGAAGTCTAGCGCTGCCCATATTGAGACCCATCTCGAGATTGGTGAAATCGAATCGAATATTTTCCATCGCAGTCCGACGCGTGCAGAATAATTTCCAGAACTTCTAAACTAAGCTTCTAGTCAGAGTCGGTTTTTTCGAAAGACAACATTTCTATATAAATAGTGCGACTTGTCGACAGACGTTAAGTTTCAATAATTTAAGTGTTGGACACTAAAGACAAATTGTAATAAATAAATTGTAATAGTGCCTAAGTATTATATAAAATAAATTATAAATAAATTGTTTAAAATAAATAAACTATAAATAAATTAAACAAACGTTACAAAAGTATAGGCCCCAGGATGCATCCTTAAGGCACCCATAGAGACTGTTTGATAGGTTGAATTTACTCTACAAGTACTTTTTGTAGACGTTATACTGTTTTCTTTCTTTCAAAAAGGATTCTAAACATTCCATAAAGTTGTAATTAAAATAAAATTAGCAAAAAATGATTTGTATTTCGTGCAAAATTATGTATGTAAATTGCAAAGCGCTTTCGGCATAACGCCATCATCAGTGCTTATAGTCACCACAATCTTCTCTCTCTTATCTATAGAGTGTGGAGAATGGGTTACCCCCACGGCACATAGGCCTCACTAGGTCCATTGGGCATCCTTCTAAGATGATAGGCACCTCCTAGCTCGTAAGCCAGCCTACAGATTTAATGAAGTTGACAATGTCGTCAAAAGGTGCTTCTCTTATATCGGCCGGTGTTAGCCGATACTCGCCGAACACAAATCTTCTAATAAATGAAAGTGTCGAGAAATTGCAAAGGATAGGCTCGATGGTCTCAGCTTTTTGAATTTGTTCTAGTTTACCGGTAGCTGTTAATTTTTGGGTTTCCGGTATCCAGACAACTGTACCGTATGTTAGCATAGGTCTTATGATAGCCATATAAGTCCATGCGAGAACTCTGGGGGAGAAACCCCAGGTGCGCCCCACTATTCGGCGGCATTGTTCATAAGTAATGTATGCTCTTTTGACTCTGTATTCTAAATGCGAGTTCCATGTTGCTTGCTGTCAAAGGTGAGATTTAGGTACTTCATCTCTGTTGCAAAGTTTAGTTTTGTGTTTAGGAGTTCTAGAGATATTAATTTCATTTTCATTCTTTTTCTTGTGAAAAGAACCATTTCTGTCTTCTTAGGATTGATAGACTGTGAAAGATCCTTGCACCACTGTGCTATAATTTTTATCGCAGAGTATGTTCTCAAAATTTCCTGTTTGCAAAATGACCAGGTCATTTGCATATGCTATTGTATAGTGACTGTCATTATTTAGGCGGCTAATGAGGGTGTCGAGGATTATGTTCCACAGTGGAGGTGATAGCACCCCTCCCTGTGGACATCTCCTTGTAACCAAGCCTCTTATATTCACTTCTTCTACACTTATGTTTACTGCTCGCTTTGTAACCACTCACTAACCATCTGTGGAACATTCCTGTTGGTTAGTCAGCGTATTATCTTTGGGAAGGTGCTTTAATCAAAAGCACCTTCTGTGTTTATGAAAACGACCAAGGCGGACTCCTTATTGTCCAGGGATCTCTCTATCCGGCCAGTAACTAGTTGAAGGACTGAATCAGTAGATCTGCCTGAGGTGTATCCATGTTTGTTTGGGTGTAGTCACCACAATAGTTATCCAGAAACTTTTTAATAGTCATCTTTCTTATCAACATTTAAGTTGGAGTGTTCTACCTTGCTAAATTTTCATATTATATTTTTTTTTTAAATTTTAATTATGAAATTATACATCCATAGTTTAAATATTTGTTTTAAATCTGTTTTTTTTTTAATTTTATTTGTTACAAAATGTATCCAATTCGTTTTCGTCTAACTTAAACAATGTGTTAAAAGTTGTCATCATTCACTGTATACTGTATATACGATGCAGCACTTTAAGCATTCATTTTGAAGACATTTGCCATAATAAGCAACATATTCACAAGTTTATTGTTATCATATAAACACGTTACTGATCACACCCGAATGTACTAAAATAACCGGTGAAGCGTAATTCATGATAAAAACCTAAAAAAAGGGAAATAAGGTAAAAATGATGAAAACGTAAACAGACTTATAATTTAGATTAATCTCTGATTCGAAAGTCCAGGCCTGAAATTAGATTTTTATTTTTGTCTTTCTTATTTTTGAGTTTTTATAAAAATATTTTTATTTTAACGACTTTAATACACAGTAAAAAAATTAATAACTTATGATTTACCCTGTATAAGAGGAAACATGTTTAAGGTTCAGTTACACCAATAACATCAATTTAATCTATTTTGTCTTTATTTACAGTTTAAAATAGCACAAAGACTATATAACATTGTTTTATTTGGGTTGAACAAACAGTTATTATATACAAGATTGTCAATCATAACCCCTATATCAGGTTTTTGTGTTAACAATTAGTTGGAGTTGAAATTGTAGACAAGCGAAAGTATTAAAATGTTCCAGTCAAAATAGAACTTTCAACATTTCTATAAAAAAGAATATTCTAAGAAACTGTTACAATGACAGGTATTTACATTTCGAATGATTTCAGCATCACTGAAGGAGAAGATCAAAAAAAGGATATTATTTAAAAAGGAGAAAAGAGGAAAACAATTATGCTTCATCAGTGGCAATAGGTTGGTACTAGATAATAAAATATACACGAATATAATGAATTGAGAAACCTTAAAAATACAATTAGGCATTCCAACGACCTGACAAACTGCTGACAAGTGAGAACTGACCACAGATGAATAATTAAAATATTCTAAGGGGGTCGCGACATAGACCCAGTAAATGGATGAGGGGGTGACTGAGGCTAGGGGGGAAATAGTAGTCAGCTTAAATTGGCAACACTTTTCTGATGTTCGTTTGGCGAAATCCACGGTTATCCTTTGTCCTGCCGTAATAGTATTATAAAAACAGAGACAGATCTACTTTTAACGTGCGTCGTGCATAATAATGTCAATATGGTACAAGTGGAATGAACCACTGTTTTCCTAATGTCGAATTAAAACTAAAAACATTGTGTACTTTTTTATATACCAAATTATGCAATTTGTTTCCACTTTATTTTAATGTGCTGTGGTAAATAAGTGTTCATGTGAAAATTATCTCTGAAACTTCATTGTGACTGCATTCATCTCAAAACTGAATGCTGTAAATGTAAATGTGGAGTACCCACATAATCAAAGTATGTGGTACTCGCCCAGAAATTTTTCAGCTTAAACCTTTACTTAACCTTAAAATGTTTAGGCCCGATTGTACAAAGTAAGCTAAAACCTAGGTTCAGGTGAACTCGGTAAATAGTTGAACTTACTTTAAAAATTGGTATGAATTGTACATACCACGCTCAATGTCGGTTTAGATAAACTTCATTGTTCAGGGTTGCCAGATTTTAATTTGACTAAATACGTAGTGTATCCACTGATCTAATAATATAGATCAGTGAGTGTATCTTTGTTTCTCTTATTAGAAAATAAATGAGCTACATAAAATGTCATTTTTACTCTAAAATTATTATTTTTAGAGGTTATACGTAGTTTTCCCTTGTGTTTCCAAACTGATAATATAACGAACGTCAAACTTCACGCATGCCGAAGAAGGACTAGTGAAACTAGTGAAAAAATATAAAGACATTTTAGAAAATAAAAACAGATGTGAATGTAACGCACAAGAAGAATGAGTGCTGGATAAAAATTGAAAGTGAATTTAATTCTCAAATCTTCTCAAATCTTTGTACAAATTCAGTATTGTTCCACTTCACAAAATGATTGTCCCTTGGTCTATATATTTATAGTT